GAACTCCTCCTCTTGGAAAGTTGCTGCTGGAAAGGAAGTGACTTCAGCGATTTGGCCACAAGGCTGGGCACTGCTGAGCCCAGCTTGGCTCAAGGCTCGCCCAGCCCACCTCCAAAGCACAAATGGAGCCACATGCACACACCACTCCCACTGTGCACCCAGAGCCCTGAACACACACTTCCCCAGTGGACATGCAGATCTCTGTGTACCAGATCTTGTCTATACACATATCTCTCTAGTGTACACTAGCATCCCCCCTCCACACCACCCAGTGTGGCACACACAACACCCCAGTATTCCCAGTATACCAGCCCCACATACACCCCGGGTACTGCACACCCATTATTCTTATGTACCACATACATAGCCCTTAAACATCCCCTAGCTCAGTTCACCTATATAACCCTATGCACCTAAGGACAGAGCCCTACACACACACACCTGCTTGCACACAAGTCTGAGCACCCTGTATATTTACAGCTGGGCATGCACAGGTTGGCATCCTCCCACAGTCATACCTTCCCACCCTTACAAACCCAGGAGGCCCCACCCCCAGATCTCAGGCCCCAGGAATGCTCCTTTGGAAGTTGGGTGGGGTCCCCAGGCAGGCTGTGCTCTAGGGAGCTTCCTGGAGCCGGAGGCTTCATGTGTCAGTTCAGGGAGTTGCCTCTGCAGGGCAGGGCAGCCTCACCTGGCTCCTGAATCTGAGTGGGCTAACCTGTGCCAGGAGTAGGGAGGTAGGTCCTCCACGGCCCCACCCCCTGCCTGTCCTGTGAGGGCACCCTGCATGCCTCTGTTACCCAGGCCCTCCCAGCACCTCATCTGGGCCTTGCAGCTCACTGCTTCCACAGACTCCAGTGAGAGGTGTCCTGAGGGGTCAGCAACACACATCAGGCCCTCTAGTTTGAGTCCTGGTCATTGTCACAAACCCTTTCTCCTCCTCGTTCTCTTGAGTCATCCAGGTGCAGGGAAAAGTCCTCAGGCTAGGAGGTAGGACTCACTGCATACCCATGAGCCTCAATTTCCCTTTCTGGATAATGGGGAATTTTAGTAAGCTTGCTTAGTATCTTTTGATTCTATAATGAACCTCTTTTTCATCTAAGCTAGGAGGGGATCCTTGCTGGGGCTGGGAGGCAAGTTCCTTCGGTTCCCACTTCCTGGGGTTGGCCCAGGCCTGGCTTCCCAGCACACCATTACCTGAGCAGGCCGTGCAGACAGGCTCGGCTCAGCAGGAAAGGCCTGTCTTCACCAGCGTCTTCAGGATGGTTTCTGCGGTGGCCTGGGCGTTGCCCCACACCCAGGGCCCTCTGCACACGCTCAGCTGGGTGGGCTCTGGGGTCCAGGCCAATGGGTAGACAATCAGGCAAGCTCCCATCTGTGGAAAAAAACACAGTAGCCCACAGGCATAAGCACTGACGCAGGGCAGGCTGGCCAGAGGGCAGGGTGCCGAGGGACACTGAGCCAGGAGGTTGCCCCGATGGGGCCAATCTAGCTCCAACCTCATCCCATCCAGGAGCTGTGAACTTGTCTCTTGAACCCACAGGCTCCTACTGAGAAGCAACGTTTCCACATACCTAGGTACACATATGCATACATGTGCACACACACTATAGTGGAAGGAACCTGGCCAGACAGTCCTTGGTTTAATCCTCACTTGCCCAATTGACTTGGGCAAGTCAATTGACCCAGTTTTCTCATCTATAAAATGGAGAGAATAAGACCTTATGAATGGGAGGAGCACTCTGGGGAAGCTACAAATGCTAAGAGTTTATGACAATGCAGGTGTGAGATTTGCTGGTCAGTGATGGTGGATGCAGATTTCCATGAGGGGGTATGTGCAGCTGGCGTTTACCCATCTCCGTCAGTAACTGGTTATATCTCTTGTTTTCTTTAATAACCATGGCCCTCCTCACCACCCCCCTGCTTCCTGCCCATTTGTCTGCCTCCCTGAGGTCTGTACTGGAGCCCAGAGGGGGTCTGGGAACCAGGCCTCATGGACTCCTCATAGGTCCTGGTTGCCTGGGAATTCCTACGTGTGTGATCAAGACTCTGCCTGGATAAATGCATGTCTGTGGATGTTCAAATGTCTGGGGAAATACACCTGTATGTTGGTTCCTGGATCTCTTGAGCCTGTCTGCACGCTCCCCTATATGTGTTTCCATATGTCTGTGTGGGCATGTGTGCTTGAGAGTATACATGTGTGGAGTCATGTGTCTGCTCAGTTGTGGTTGGTGTGGTCAGCTGTGTGTATGCATGGCACCAGCCTGTGTGCCTGGGCTCGGTCGGTGTCTTCAGTTACACGTGTGGGGACGTGCACTATTTACGTTTTCTATTCAGCTTTGTGTGTTTCTAGTTGAGCCTGTGTTTGTATGCCTGTGAGGACACCGAGGTGTAAGTGTTTGTGCCTATGTGTGACAAGGCAGGCCCAGCTGTGGCTGGGGTGTGGGTGTGCCTAGGTGTGCACACACTCTACCTGGTTCTGCATCTCGCTGTCAGAAGCCAAACCAGCTCCTGCCTGTCTCAGAGCTCTCTGGATGTGTGTTTGGTGAGGAGTGGGGGCGTGTGGCTAATCCTCTGCTGTCCCTGCAGGGTTCCAATCTTGAGGCCTGTGACTGTGGGCACTGGTGTCACTGTGGATCAGTGTTGCCTCCCTCCTACCTCTGCCTTTCTCTGGGCTTTCAGAATCATGGTGCGGCGGTGTGACTGGTCATGGTGTCCCTGTGGATATGTTTCACTGCGGGTCAGGATGTGCTGGTGCGTGTGTCCATGCATGTGTGGATTTGTATGACCTTATCACTGTGTGTCTCTGTGTATGTCAGCGGGTCCTTGTGCTATATCATCATATGTCTGTGCCAGTGTTGCTGTGTGTCAGCGTCAACATGTGTGAGCAGGTCTGTGTGCCATGGTGTGCTGTCAGCACAATGGTGCCTCAGTGTTTGTGTACCTTTGTGTAACTCATCAGTGCATGTATGTGCATGCATGCAAGAGACCTTTTGTGAGACAGTGTGTGTGCCTGTGTCACTGTGTTTGTATGTGCCTGCTTCCCTCCTCCTCTCTCTTCTCCCTCCCTCCCTCCCTTCCTCTCTCTCTTTCTCTCTCTCTCTCTGTAGGAGCCAGACAACTCCCCAAGCCTGGATTAGGGACAATTTATCCACAGGCAGAGAAGGAGAATTCCAACCTGCCAGAGCCTCCCTCCTCTGATCCGTCCCCCCTTTCCCTGTGGTTGGGTGGGCACAGAAACACAGCCCAGCAGCTCCCAAGCCCTTGGGGAGCCCCCACCTCTGCTGCTCCCCAGAGGCCCAGGAGGAAGGAAAAGATGGAAATCTGGGTGGCCCCAGAGCCCTCCCGTGGGGGTGGACTGGTTGTCCCCATCCAGGCCCCCACAGCTCAGCTCATCTTGGCCCTGTTCTCTCACATATGGTGGTGCTGGGTGGGGGGCAGTCTGCATGGGGTCTGCCTGGTCCTGAGGGCTGGGGGACGGACCTGAGGAGCAAAGCTGCCCCCAGCTCCTCCACAACCTGATACTCCCCAGCTGATAAACGCCAGCCCCCCCCCCCAGTAAATGACTGGGGAACTTGCAACTGTGCCCACACAGGCTGGGGGAGCTGCTGGAAGGCAGAGGACAGTTTGGTGGGGGGAATGCGGCAAGGGGGGGAGCAGGGGCTGGGCTGGGACTAAGGCTCCCTTCACGGTGCTCCAGGCGCAAGGCAGAATCACATGTTTCCCATTAGCTGCTCTGGCCTCCTTGTTCAGGGGGTGTTGGCTGGGGGAGATTTGTTCTGGTTGCAGACACCAGCCGAGACCACACAAGAGAGAGAGGAAAAGACAGAGAGAGAGAGAGAGAGAGAGAGAGAGAGAGAGCGAGCCTGAGGGAGAGAGGAAAAGACAGAGAGGAAGAGGGAGAAGGATACACAGGGAGACACAGAGATACACAGAGGGAGAGAAACAGAGACAGCGACACATGAGACAGAGATAGATAGAAACTGTGAGAGACAGCCACACAGAAACACAAAAAAAGACAGACTGGGGATGAGAGAGGCTAACAGAAACAGGGAGATGGAGAGGAAGGCAGAGAGAGGAGGGCTGAGACCTTGTCAGAGGCTGAGGAGAGGGTGTCACTCGGGCCCAGAGCAAGTCTGAGGCCAGGAAGGACCCAGGAAGGGTCAGAGGGGAGAGGAGCACTAGGGAAGAAAGCCAGAGAGATACAAAAGGAAAGAAAGAGCCGGGAACCCAGCTATTTCCACAGGAGGCTGAGAACGCAGTAGCAAGGTGCACTGGGCAGACCAGGGAGAAGGGCTGAGGGAAGGCCCGTGTGGGCAGCACACAGGCCAGAGCTAGGGCGCGTGGGCAGGGGGAATGGACGCGCCTGAGCAGGCGGGTGGGGGCGGCCAGAGCAGAGCCTCCCGCCTCCTGACCCTGGAGCCTCGGAGAGATAACAGGCCCGAATAGTGCTGACTTGCGGTTCAGAAATCCAATATCCTCCTCGGCGCACTAATCGACTACCTGAGCTCCTGGCCCGCGCCGAGCTGCCCCGATTAATCCTGCGGCTCCACAGCCTTAATTAGTTTAACAGTTTCAGGGGCAGAAGAGGCAGGGAATAGGGTCCCCAGGCCCTCGGGAACACAGCCCCAAGTAAACCCTGCCTGGTGCCCCACCTCTGCAGCCACACACTTGCTGGGGCCCCAGAGGCCCCTTTCCACACTTATCTGAAAAACAATGGGTCCTTCCTCCCGGGGAACAGTCCCAAGGGCTGGCACCTGGGTCAGAAGGTAGGTCATGCGGGACTGAGACACCCCTAACCCACACTTGCCCCTCTGCTCAGGGCCTCAGCATTTCCTCTGGCCAGTCCTTTGGGGCTCTGTGGTCTGCATGGGAGGGCTCCGTCAACTGCCAGCCCACGTCACTGGGCAACATGTTGTCTCTTTAGGGTGAGAGACGAGCTCCCAAGTTACTGACAACTTCCCAACAGCATGAGATAATCACACATGTCACTCCCAACAGCCTGAGATGGGCACATGGTGGCATCTCTCACACACACAACAGTCAGAGAGACAGGCATATGAGTCGGTGACAACCATCCTAACAGGATGAGCTAAGCACATAACCTGTCGCTTCCCCCAAAGCATGAGATGAACACATATGACATCCCTGGACAGTATGAGACAGGTACACAGGTTGTCACCTCTCACAAGGGTGTGACTAACACACAACCAGGCACCCCCATGCCCACTAACAGGATGTGGGATGTACCTGTCACATGCAGCCTACCAAAACAGTCACACACACGCACAAATCGTGAGACAGGCCTCATCTTCAGGCACAGACCCCTTCACCCACCACACGGTATGAGATAGGGACACAACCTCACCCCTTCCCTATGAATCCTTCCTTCAGACTGTGAGATGTGTACACAACCTGTCACCTCCCTGATGGCTTTGGACAGGTGACAGCCCACCTCATCCCTCCTCCATTGCTGTCACCAGTCTGGGTGGTGCTGTCCTCTGCCTGCAGAGACGTCACAGCTCACAGGGCATGAATGTCACCCCAGCACTGCCAGAGCCGGGCACAGCTACACGTTGCCCCAGTGACAAACACCACTGGCCCCAGGAGGAGGTGGAGGCCCACAGGGCTCTGGGTGTGACCTTGGTCCCTGGACACCAGGAGGGGAGGTGCTGTGGCCTCCCGCCCAGTGGCGGGTGCTGTAATATTGAAGTGCTGGGGAGGAAGCTGCTTGGACACAAAGACGACCTGGAATGCCACCTTCCCAGCCCCCACCCCATTTCTAATTTACTGTGGCTGTATATCTAGGGAGGGGGCAGAAAGAGTGGTGGTAGAGGGAGGGCTATACCGAGGCCTGAGGGACTGTCTCCATGAGACTGCTTAGAGATCGGTGGTGAACAGAGGGATAAGGGTTGCTATCACCACGTGCTCACTGAGGGGGTGGGATAATGGCTTGAGACCCTCACTGCTGCCAGGAAAGCCCTCTTCCTCACAAAGGCCTCCTCTCCAAACTTTAGGCCACAGAGCTGGGGACAAGGAGGCCAAAGTCCAGGGGCATGACTCACCCAGGGAACAGGCCCAGCCTGCTGGCCATAGTGGTGATGGAGGCCACGAGCCAAGAGGCCTGGGTTCGAGTGTGAGCTCCTCCCAAGCCAGGCAGGATGACCTTGGAGCAGCAGCTCAGCCTCTTTGGCTTTGGGGAGGGAGGGAGGGGCAGCAGCCAGGGAAGTGCCAGGGTCAGAAGGAAGCTGAAGCTGGAGGTCAGCAAGAAGCCTGGTGCGGGGGTGCCACAGGAAGGACACAATGGGCAGGGGTTCCAATGCTTTCCCACAAGGAGCCTCATCTGTCGGT